GACCCACTTTACAGACGAGGAGAACGAGGCACAGAGAGGCTCACTAACCTTTTTGAGGTCGCACAGCCAAGTCATTAGCAGAACCAGGTCTAAAGAAAGGGGCCTCAGGGTGGTAGGAGGGAATTGAGGGCTTGCACTGGGGACTCCGGGCCCCCGTCTCTGCTCTAACCCGGCCCCTGCATGCCATGGCCATCGCAGGATGTGGACGCCCACCATCCCGTTTGGCGTCCACGAACACCTACAGCAGCTGGATTCGCGGATCAGCCTGAAGTGATCTCCGCGATGCCCGGGACAAGGTGACTGAGGTGGGCTTGGACGGGGAGAGCCGCGGGGGCTGCTGGGGTCAGTGTGATGTCAAGTCCGAGTCCGTAAAAAGTGGGCGGGGGCGGCAGGTGGGAGCTGGACCGTGCGGCCTCTGGGGCGTCCCCCTGCGATTGGTGGAGGTGACTTTAAAGGCTTTGGGGACTCGGGCTCTGGGCGTCCTCCCTGTGGCCAGGCGTGGGAGGTGGGGGCAGGGCGTGGGGGTGGCTGTCCATGGCCCACAGCCCTTAGCTTTGAGAAGAGTTTCGAGAGGTCCCCAAGCCACCCTGTTGCTTCAGCCTGCTGGCTGTCCTGCAGTGTCCTCACAGGCATTTGCTCTACAGGTTTTTCTGTGCAATGACGGTCCCCTCACTTCCGCGCTCCCCCAACCTGTGAGGTCTCCCTCCTCCATCATCTCCACCTCATCCCATCTTTTTTATTAAACTTTTTATTTTTTTTGAGCGAGAGAGAGATAGGCCGTGAGCCGGGGAGGGACAGAGAGAGAGAGGGAGACACAGAATCTGAACCAGGCTCCAGGCTCCAAGCTGTCAGCACAGAGCCTGACACGGGGTTTGAACTCACAAACTGTGAGACTGTGACCTGAGCCGAAGTCGGACGCTTAACCGACTGAGCCACCCGGGCACCAACCCCCATCCTGACAGCACTCCATCCTGGGTCAAGCTGCCCCGTCTAAAGCTTTCTGACCTACCCCTTCTCCTGGCCTCTCACAGCATGTTCTCTGAGGACGCCGACCACGCTGGACCTTGAACTGGTTGTTTGTGGACACGGTGCTTCTTGGGCCATCGCCCGTGAGCCTCAGCATCCTGGCGCCCGGCCCTACCGGCTCAGGGCCGGCCCCCACCCAGCTCTGGGAAGGCCTTTGGCCTGCTCTGCGGACGGACCCAGGCCCGGCTCCAGGCTCCTGCGGGGCCCAGGTCGATGCCGGCCCCGACGGACGGGTGCACGACCGGTGGTGACGCAGGCCACCCAGGGGCCCTGAGGCATCCCGCAGGACGCTCCTGGCAGCCGTGGCCGGGCCGGAGTGAGGGACTGAGGCGGCCACATCTCTGCCTCCCCAGGTCCCTGTCCGCCTGGGGAGAAGTCACTTCTCTGCACTGCTCTCCTAACAAGGATGCCGGGTGCTCTCAGGACACGGGCGGCTGGCCCCACCTGCCGATTTCCCTGTGACAGGCGGGGAGTCTGTGGCAGCTGCTGTCCGTCTCCAGGACTCACTGTTTTGCACTAACTTTGTCGAGGTCGAAGCTCCGCCCGGCCAGACACACCGGACTTGAGCCGGAAAGAGCTGACCGTGCCCTAACGGTGGGGGGAGGGGAGTGGGCCAGAACCACACCTGCCTCTCGGCCTTCACTTCTTGGGTCATTTTTTCACTACAGGATAAAGGGCCCGTTGCATCTCACAGGCATGTCCACAGCTGGAGTTTCTACCACGATCGCCGTTGTGGGGGGTGCCCGCTGTTCGGTTATCTAAATGCATCACAAACTACCCCAAAATGCTGTGGGTTAAAACAACACACACGTTTACTCTGCTCACACGCCTGTTATGTGCGCTGTGGTGGGGGGGGGGGTTGGTGCACAACTCGTCTCCGCCCCACTCAGTGTCAGCTGGGGCAGCTTGAAGGCCGGGGCTGGCATCATTTGAAGGCCCGGTCACTCCGTGCTGACTGGGGGTCGGGGGCCTAGGGTCTTGGTTCCTCTAAGGAACTGCCCGAGGAGGACCTTTCCACGCGGGCTGCTTTGGACTTCCTCCTAGCACAGTGGCTGTGCCGAAGGGCGATCACCCAAAACCGAAGAGAGAGACAGGGACAGGGACAGGAACCATGGACCACAGGGAGAAGCATCCTTTTTATAACCCAGACTTGGGAGTCACAAAGCATCACTGTCTCCTTATTCTTTGCTCGGTAGGACAGGGGCCAGGGTTCTACAGCCCCCCCACTCCTCGCAGCACCCCCAGCAGAGACCACGTGGGCCCCAAGTCCTGTCTATTTGGAAAGGATCTTTCTACGGCATCCTGAGCTTTGGTGGACAGTTTGTTATTTGGGGATCAGTAAGTTGAAGCACCATAAGCCTTGCAGAGGGGATGTTTTCCTCTGCTCTATGCTGGGACCCGTTCCTCAGTCAAGCTGCAATCCTGCCCTGGCCGAGGTGAGCCTGGAAGGAACCAGAAGCTTTGCCATCTGCACAGAGCGCTGCCAGCTCGGCTCTTGCTGTTGCTTTTTTGCTGGAGCACGACCCACTTGGTCAGAAGTCCTGATTCAGGAGAAGTCTGCTTTCTCCTGGTGGCAGGGGGAGCTGTCTGTTCGGCTATAGTTGCACCAGCCCTGATGCCTGGGTCCCAACTCTCTGTTTCCCAAAGTTGGGGGGCAGGAGTTAGGAGGGTCAGAGGGATTCGGTCCTTGCAAAGAGGTGGAGGCCTTTTTTCTCGGCCCAGCTGCAAAGGACACCAGGCGTTGTGACCCAGGTTTTTTGTTTGTTTGTTTTTGAGAGAGAGGGTGCGAGTGGGGGAGGGACACAGAGAGAGGAGGACAAAGGATCCGAAGCGGGCTCTGCGCTGACAGCAGGAAGCCCGATGCGGGGTTTGAACTCACGAACTGCGGGATCATGACCTGAGCCAAAGTCGGGTGCTCAACCGACTGAGCCACCCAGGTGCCCCCAGGGTTGGGTTTTAAATAGCTGGGGCATCATTCCTCAGGGGGTCCCGGCATTTGGGGATTGCATGCCATCCACGGGCTCCCGTTTGTATAGCTACAGGGGTGAGCACTGAGCCACCCCCCCCCACCCCAGTGCAGGCCTCTGCTGGCACCCCTCAGCCGGGCGGGGGGAGGGGCACCATCATACCCACTGCTTTCGGTCTGTTCAGAGATGACACATTCCCATCAGAAGCCGTGATTATTCGTCGTTCGGACTCTTGAATGATAGCTGCCATTTATTAAATGAGCTGATACATGTAAAGTGCTTATCACCGTGCAAGGGATATAATAAGTGTTCGATAAATATCGGTAATGATCACTTTGTGCCAATACTGTGTGAAACCCTTCCTGCTCAAAGGGACCACGGTCTAGGGCCAGCAGCACAGACCCCCAGAGCTAGACTGCTTGGGCTCAGTGCCCAGCTCACCACTTGTGCAGATTCCTTCTCTGTGCCTCAGTCTAATCATACGAAAAGTGGGCATAGTTACAGCATCCCCTTCATGCAGGTTGCGCAGAGATCCAGGGAGCTAATATGCTGACAAGAGCTGGCATACAGCTCAATACTTGTTAGCTGTCCCTATTACATAGGAATATGTGTTTTCTTCCTGCGTCTGCCTGGAATGTTCTTCCTGGCCCTTGGGACAATTTCTGACCCTGTAGGACTCCGTTTAAAGGACAGCAGCTCCTTAGGAAGGTCTACCAGACCACCCTATTGAATAGATGCCCCTCACTCCCACTCTCCAAATTGGTCTTTTCATGTTTTTGGTTTTTCATGTTTATTTGTTGTGTTGTCTGCTTTTGTTCTGGGATGTGGGCTTCAGTAGGGCCGGTCACCTGTCTGCTGTGTTCATTGCTCTGTCCTCTGCACCCAGCAAGGTGTCTGAACATAGTAAGTGCTCAGTAAATGTTTGTGGAATGAATGATCCTCACCACTTTGCTTTCTTTCCTTTTTTCATTCCACAAACATCTGCTGAGGGCACGGTAGCATACTCAATAGAATGCTCAAGGTGCCTGCTCTGGGAAGTCATGTATTTTAGTCAATTAAAAAAAACTCCCCAGGTAGGGCTGTCTGGTGTGATTGGGCGGTCTGTGCACTGCACCAAGGCACCTGGACAAGCGGGCACATGGGGGCTGCAAACCAGTGTGGGCTCTGCTTGCCAAGCTGGGATTCCCGATACGGAGCCATGGGAGCCCAGTGGGGACCTTGGTAATCAGCACCAAGTCACGTTATGAGGTACGTAAATTACTGTCCCCATTTCTCAGAAGTGGCTTGCCTAAGGCCACACCCCTGTAGAGGAGGGAGTCAGGAGGCAAACCTGCCTTCCGCTTTCCTTGGGGGAGTGGGTGTCCACAGGCATGGGCACAGCATGCTGGAATCGCTCCCAGAGCGCCACTCGCTGGGTGGGAGAAGGGGCCGGGGCATCTGTCTGGAGTCATGCTGTGCGTTGATGGCCTGATTCCACGTCTACTGCATCTTTTGAATAAATCCTCAGCTTTCCCCTCCGGTCTCTCGCCCCATGAAAGCATCTCCCTTCGCAGGCTCCCGTCTCTCCTTGGGTCTCTCAAATATGTCCTGGTCACCTTCCCTGGCGCCCTTTCTCAGCACAGGGAGACAGGGGGCGCTGTAGCTGCCTTTTCCCTGAAGATCTGCGGGCGGCCTGACCCCCCCTCACCTGTGTCCCCACCCACACAATGCACCAATCCTTGTACCTTGCTTAACACGGTGTGCACGTGATGGTGTCTCCTTCCCTCCCCGTGCTCGTTCCATCATCCCTAGCGCAAGTCTCTGGGTGCGTCTCTGGGATCCGGGCCACCACGCCCCGCAGGCTGGGCCCAGCCTCTCCGCCTGGACTCCCACGCCAGCCCAGCTTGGCCCCAAGCTGGAGAAGCCTGGCCTCTTCTGCCCCTTTGTCAAGCACGGGGTCCTGCATCAGGGCTGCTTTCCCTAATCTCAAAGAAAAAAAACCCAAAAATAGGCAGGGCCCCCACAGGCTGGAGTTGGTTGCATACATTTTTTAATTGAAAGAAGTCAGCCTCCTAAGTATTGCTTTTACAGGCTTATCGACATCAAGTATTCATACCGCTCACATTTGCAAAAACATTTCTGGCCAGCGGAGCAGCGAGGCACCCCCCCGCATGACGGATCAGTCCTGGCGACTTGATGCAGAACGAGCAACTGGAAACGAATAAGTCAAGCCCGACCCTCGCCCCCGACACAATCCTTGGCTTCTTTTCCTTCTGACTTACTCCCTGAAATAGTCGCTGCATCTAAGACCAGCCTCGGGGCCAAACCTGGCCAAGCTTTGGGCTCCGCTGGCCTCCAACGGAGCTGGGAGTGGCTTCCGCAGTGGGTCTGCAGTTTGAAGCATCCTCTCGGAAGATGAAGTGTGGAGAAGCAGGAGCGGTCGGGGGTGAAGAGCGGGGAGGCAGACTCTGGCTGGGTTCCTGTAAACATCCATCGCCAATGCGAAGGTCAGAAGCCAAGGCAAGGCCATTTGTGCGACGCTGAGGGTGGGGGAGGTCTTCGGATGCCCCTGCCTTTCCCTGGGGACAGGGGTACAGGCCTTCCGGGCCTCGGCTCTCAGTCTCCATCTCTCTGCCCCACCCTCCTGGGTCCGGACAGAAACCTCTCTGTTGGCACGGAGCTCTCGGGGGAAGCAGGCCTAACGAGAAGGGAAAAGGGGTGTTACTGGCACAGAAGCACGGCCCGCCACCCATCTGGGGGTATATCTGGGTCCAACCTCCAGGCCCCGGGAGGCCAAAGGAGGGCAGGGAGGCCTTCCCCCATCTCTTGCATTCAGAAACCATCAGAAGCTCCAGACTCGGGCTGGGGGTGTTTTCCTACAACTTTTACTAATACCTTTTTTTTTTTTCTAGTTTATTTACTTTCGAGAGAGACAGAGCGTGAGTGGGGGAGAGGCAGAGAGACAGGGAGACACAGAATAAGAAGCAGGCTCCGAGCTGTCAGCACAGAGCCCGAAGCGGGTCTCAAACCCACCAACCGTGAGATCATGACCTGAGCCGACGTCGGCCGCTTAACCGACTGAGCGCCCCACCCCCCACCCCGGCGTCCCATTACTGATAACTTTGTAACAATAAGTTCGCCTGATTTCTAAGGAGCCTGGACTGGAGAACCAGGGCAATTTCCCTTTGGAGAGGAAGGACTGTCCACCCTGGGAGGGACGAGGGGGATCGGGACGCGAAGAAGGAGGGCAGCCTGCTCAGGGGTCACCCAGAGCCTGCTGGCCCACTTGAGCCCCAGGGCAGCCCAGCAGGCTCGGGTCGTGGGCGGGGCTTGGCCCCGCCTCCCGCCCCGCCTGGAAAATGCGACGCAGGCTACGGGAAGGCTGCGGCCGTCGCCAAGCTACTCCGCAGCCCCGCCGGGCTCGTCCTCCGAGGACATGGCATCATCCTCGCGGCCAGGCCCTTCGGCGGCTCCCCGTTTCCCGTAGCCTCCGCTTTCTGCGTCCGGCGGGGTGGCGGCGTCTCTGCGGCATCTTCCATTCCCCACCTGCCCTCCTGCCCCAGTTCCGTGCCTCATTTCTGCCGGCTCACTTCTGCAAATGCCGTCACGCATCCGATAGACCTTCTATGCGAAACACGTGACACGGACTGTGGTTCACCGACATGTGAGGTGTAACAATTCTCTGAGGTGGAGGGGGGCGTTCTGGGCCCTGCAGGACGGTTGTCAGCACCCCCCCCCCGGGGTCCCTGACCACTAAATGCCAGTAGCACCCCCGGGCACTGCGACAACTAAAAATGTACCCTTGTCCCGTTCCCAAGGGTCACTGGGGGGAGCAGAACCACCTCCACTGAGAACCATGCATCTCCCCAAGGTTCAGAGAAGCCAAGTGACCTGCCTAAGTCACACACCTGTGACAGGCGGAGCTGGCACTGGATGTAACAACAACAATCACAATCAGTAAAAGCTCAGGAGGTAGCAGCCACCTAAGTGCCACGAGCCCAGGGCGGAGGCTGCGGGTGCCTCGCTTGTTTCCTCCACTCACCCCTCCAGGGCATGCTGACCTGCCTCTTTGCCCGAGGGCTGCCTGGTGTCCCGCAGGCAAAGCCAAGGTCCCCCCACAGCTGCCTTCCAACCAGTGATGGCCAGGAAGGTGGTGAATCAATACCCCAGCTCCTGCACTCCACAGCTGAGGCGACTGAGCTATATTTGTCCCTACATTGGCCCCCAGAGTCCCTGAGCAGGACTGAGCCCAGGCCTGCAGTGGTGACCTACTGGATGACACAACCCTTTCCCGACTCACCGACTCACTCCCTACCAGTAGTTCCCAGGATCACCTCCCAAATAAGCGACTTGCCCTTGAATCTTTGTCCCAGGGTCCACTCCTGGGACAGCATGCCCAAGATGGCCTATGGCACTAAGTCATTTCATTCAGCTCTAACAACTCCTGGAGTTGTTAGACACACTGTTATGATTCCATTTTACAGATGAAGACACTGAGGTTCAGAGACAGTAAGTAACTTGTCTGGGATGCTCAGTTCCCCAGGGCTTTGTGCCCCTGGAGATTTTTTCAACCCTACCTAATTTCACACATCCTGTGTGCCAGGACCTGAGCCGGGGGCTGGGGACCCCGTGATAAATGCAGTCATGCCTTTGAGACACAACCTTGTGAGCAATTGCAGCCGAAGGTCAAAGACAGGACAGAGCACAGGGACAGATGGAGCCCAGAGTCTGGGTGAGGCCATGCATGAAGAACACGCCAGGTGGGGGGCGGGCGGGCTGGCGATGAGAGCACGGCAGGTCCTAGACCCGTGCTCCCCCCAGGTTCCTATGGGGTGGGGGAAGGGAGCAAGAAGGCAGGCCTTGGTGGAGGAGGGGGAGGGGCCAAATCTGCAAAGTTTCTCGGGTTCTCTGCCAGATTCTAGAGGCCAGCTGGGAACACATCCTTCCACTGCTCTGCCACTTCCCTAGCTCCCACTGATGGCACAGGCCAAGTCCTCATGTACTGGGGCCCCACCCCCCCTCCCCACTGGACCTGGCATGGAGAAGGGAAGACAGGGGTGTGGCCAGAGTACTGGGGAGCTCAGCCGTCTAGAAAGGTGTCCCTGGCTTCCCCTCCCTCCGAGGGACCTCTAGGGTTCCCTGCGGGGGTGCTCCTGAGAGCAGGGCTCACTCCAGAGCCCTCCAACACCGGGGATCATACTTAAGCCCATTTCAGACTTGTGTGAACAGGATGTCAGAGCACACAGTCACCCCCCAGGACGGGGACTCACTCCTCTCCCAATCCTGGTGACTACCACCAGCACAGAGTCCAGGCAAGTGGCGGTCTGGCTGGCCTGTGTCTCTCACACGGGCTAATCTCCCATCTGAACAGGCCTGGGGCTCCACAGGCACCGGCTCCAGCTGTATTCACCACGGCTCTGTTTTCACTGTGCTATCTGCAGGGTCACCTATTTATGGCAAATGTTGCTGGGTTTCACTTCTGATCGGAATATACGGGTCCGGTCTTTCCGGGACATCACTTCACTTTAAAAAGAGCTCGTTTAAAGAAAACAGTGACACAAATAACAGTTCAGACGTTACGGCAGTGATTGTTGGTGGTGTCACATGGGGTGTGAGAGACCCTGATCAGTCGGTCCCACTCATTCCACAAAGGGCCCAGAGAGGGCAGTGACCTGCCCTAAGTCACACAGCAAGTTGAGGACAGCCCAGGTCTGTGTGTCCTCCGGAGGGTGTCCTGAGACCACTCATCTCTGCCACCTGCCGTGGCTGCTAAAGATCCCCTGGTTCCTTAACTTGCAAGTCTGGCCTCACAGCAAGCCCCTCAACGAGAATCTTGAGCATGTCAACGACAGGTGGTAACTCTACCTCGTGCTATGCGCTTTAACGCAGGTCCTAGCTCATTTACGCCTCAGAAGCACCTCCGGAGATGGGGCCAAGCAGGCTCATCATCCGGAATTTCAGATGGGGCTCAGAGAGGGTTCAGCAATTTGTTCAAGGCTACACAGCTCGCAGAGGGCAGAGCCAGGACTTGAACCTCCCCTCCGCAGTCTGATCTGAGGTTCATTCATCGCCTTCTTCCAGGGCACCCAAAGCCTCAGGCTGAAAGCATCCTGGAGCCTCGGCTTGCAGAATCCCAGGCAGGGCGTTCTCCAACCTTCTAGTATCTTTAGTGCAGGACAGTTCATTGGCCAATGGCTGTTTTTTTTTTTTTTTTTTTTTTTTTCTTTCTTTCTTTCTTTCTGAAGCTGTAACCTTTCATTCCGTGCTACTCCCTGGATCCGGACAGAGGGAGTGGCCAGCTGACTCATTTCTGTCATTAAGAATGACAGCTGGGCACTTGAGCCATTTTAAGAACAATGTGTCAGCTCGATACCTCGGTGGAGAAGCCGCCTGGTTTGGCATTTGGCTTAAGTGAGAAAATGGCCCTTGTGTCTTGAGGGCGCTGGTGGGGCGATGCCCTGGACGTGTTGAAAGGAGATTTCTCTTCTCGATTCAGCCATCCTGCGGGCTTCCTCAGGGGCAGTCAGGGCAAGGCCCATCTGTGGGGATTCAGGCTCTGCCCCCTCCTAGCCGTGTGACCTCAGGCAAATTAACTTAATTTCTCGGGGCCTGTTTATTCATCTGAAACCAGAGGACAGGGCCTACCTCCCTGGAATGTTTGTGGTGAGGCTATGAAATCACATTGGTGGAATGCCTACGATACACAAGGCATTGGTAAGTAGCGGCCCCTCCCCTCCTTCCATCACTTCCCAGGTAGAAAACACACCAGGCAGGGCACCTCTTCCGTGCTGGGGGCCTTCTGAAAACAGTAGCCCTGTCGTCCTCCAAGGACCCCCCCTACCGGAAACCCACTGCTCACCAACCAACCAATTAAAGCAGCTACAGACAGATGTCACCCAGAACCAAAACGCCCTGCGTCTCCGCTGTGGCCTCAGTGACGGGCTGTGCCGCAGAAGGACCTCTGCCTTGTCTGGTCCAAGAGTTCACGGCCGGAAGGGGCTCAGAAAGAAGAAGCCGCTTGGGTCCGTGTCCCCCAGGGAAGCCAGCGTTCTGGAGAAGCAAGGGTCGGTTTCTCGAACCCAGGTCTGGTTCATGTGCCAGATGCTGACACTCATCAGTTGTCAGTTTTGTGATGATTCTTGATCCAAAATGCGTCTCCAGTTGGTTGGTCCTAAGACATGGCAACTTTTGCCCTCGAGTCTTGCCTAAGAACTGCCTGGAGTATTATTTATTTGGTATTTTAAATGAATGCACTTTAAAAAAAAAATTTTTTTTTTAAAGGAACCTTTATGTCACTCTCATGAATAAAAAACAGTATCATTCGTCACACACCAAAGGCAATGCTAAAAAAAAAAATACTATGAAAATGCAACGGTTAGTGCTAGCCAGATACCCCCGGCTTGTGAAGCAGCCTCAGCCTGGTTTCTCTGGTCTAAGGGAAAAGTAGCAGGTGCCCAAGAGTGACAGAGAACGTCAAGGAGGCACTGGGAGCGAGGCTAGGAGGCCCAACTGGCCACCTCATAGCTGGGTATCTGGGCTGAGTCACTAACCATACCCAAGCCTCAGTTTCCCTCCCTGTATAGTGGAGCTAATGAGCCCAGCCCTGCCTGCTTCATGGGTGACGCTTAGGGGAAGCTAGGAGACGTGAGAGAGGCAGCTATTTTTAACCACCCAGCCAAGGCCAGGAAGGAATCCCAG